CTCGCAAGGCCTGCGCCTGGCCCCCCTCCCGCCAGCACCCCAGCAGAAGCAGGAGGAGGAGGAGGAGGAGGAGGAGGAGAGGGAGGAGGGGGAGGAGGAGGAGGAGGAGGAAGAAGAAGAAGAAGAAGAAGAGGAGGAGGAGGAGGAGGAGGAGGAGGAGGAGAGAGGAAGTTGGAGGAGGAGGAAAACGAGGAGGAGGAGGAGGAGGAGGAGGAGGAGGAGGAGGAGCAGTTGGAGGAGGAGGGGAGTCAGAAGGAGGAAAAGGAGGAGGAGGACAGAGCCTCGACCCTCGAGGCTCTGTCCTCAAGGTCTCGAAGCCTCGAAGCTTCGAAGCATGGACCCTCGAAGCCTCGAGCTTCGACCGCCCCGAAGGTGCTGTTCGCGTCTTGGCCGCCAGACCTCGCCGACGAGCCCGTGGGCGCCTGGTGCTGGCTCTGCGGGTGCTGCGGGTGCCCCCGCCGCGGCCACTCGGACTCTGGGGCTCCTCCTCTTCCTCGCTTGCCTCGGGAGCAATGAGCATTAGTAGATTTCGGCGCCCTAGAGGAGGACGACAGCTACCTGAGCAGCTGAGCGACGGCACTCCTTCATCTCCCCTCCTCCTCCTTATCCCCTCCTCCTTCTCTTCCTTCTCGTGCTCTTGTTCCAGCTGGAGTGCAGCAGCTCGGCCAAGCGAGCGGTAGAAGGCAGTGGATGCTGTGGCCTCCCGGAAACCGTGTTGGGGCGTGCCCCGCGCATGTTTTTGCTGCCCACTCAGGCTCAAGCCTGGTTTGAGCGGATTTTTCTGAAAGCCTTCCAGTGACGGTCGCCCGATCCATCACTTCCTTTTTTACATCATGTTCTCATACGACGACAGCGAAGAGACCGATCGAACATCTTCTCATTCCCATCTCGCACGTGGACGCTCGGAACGAGAGTTTCACAGTCTGCGGCAGGAACAGGCTAATGTGCAGCGATAAGCGTTCTCGACAGCCAGTCTTGGGAGCGGGAGCGCGAGGAAAACGACTTGGCAGCGGAGCAGGTCCGATCCCAGATCTGCTCAGATAGCGGTATCCGATGGCGCAGCATGGAGTTGGACATCAGGGCCCCCTTCGTCTTGCAGGCCAACAGCGAGGGCCCACCATCCATGGATCCTGCTCGTGAAATCCAGTACTCACTCCGCGACTGGGTGACCGACGTGCGAATGTGGGAGGCTATGGCAGAATTTCCGCCGCGACAGCATGCACTTGTTGTCGCACTTCGGTGAAAGGGGTTGGGCACAAAAAATGGCGAGAACAATACCGACAGAACAGCTGTCGCAGGGAGCAATGGTGGACCTCATCGACGGATTTGGGCATGTGTACCGCAGCGGTCTCGACCTTCTCACTCAGAGCCTGCAGCGTGCGTTTTCCTCTCTCTCGGTCGACACGGCTTTCAACAGCATGGCGAAATTCGTTGCGGTCAAGAGGCACCACGGGAAACCATTCGATGAAGCATTGGCAAGGATTGAGTGGCTCCAGTTCCAGGCGCAGCTACTGGGCAATTTCAACATGGGGTTGCCCAGCCTGTTTCGGATGATTTCGAACGCGCCTTGGATCCCGCCTTCACAGTGGAGCCAAGAGTACGATTTAGGCAAAGGCCAGGACCGCGATGCAGAAGATCGCCGACGCAACCCTCGAGGAGCCAACGGCCAGTTCCTGAAGCGCCCATCTGTGGAGCAAATGCGACGCGCCCGCAGCAGCTGCGATTCGAGCGAAGCGCGGAACCCAAATGCAAAAAGGCAAGCAGGGTTTCAACATGGCGGAGCCTACCACAGCAACCTCCTGGTGCTCTGGCGTTGCCTGCAGCATTTTCGGCACCTCCAGAGTCCAACGCGCTTCAGCGTTGCCGTCTTCTGACCGGCCAGGACGAAGCGCAGGAGTCGGGCACTCCACATGTTCTCTCTTGATGCGGAAACCCTGCGCTTCGACGCGCACGATCAGGACTACTTCCCCGACGATGTTCAGGGGCCCTCGCAGGATGTCTCGCGCTTGTACGAATCGCCTTTACGGCCAGGCAAGGGTCCTGCCCGCCGCGCAGGAGCTTCGACAGCCACGCGGGGGCCTCTCGCGCCGCTGGCTGACCAGATCGGTGAGATTGAGACGCAGACGAGGAAGCTGATCTTGGATCACAAGCAGCAGCTCGTGGAGTCCACCTCGTCAACTAGCACCGGGCAGGCTGGCGAGATTGACGAGGGGAATGAGGGCGATATCCCTGAAGCTGCACGATGATGTGATGGGCCTGTCTGCGAAAGTGGCGGTTCCAATGGTCCGATGCTTCTGGAGGCAACCAGGGTTAACGACTTGGAGTGTTTGCTGATCAGTCCTGGAACATATGACATCACGGCGGGTGATCAATGGGCGTTGCGGCAGGACGATCGCGCGCGCAGCTGGCTTCAGCCCGGAGCTTCGAGAGACACTCGAGGCCATGTGCGCCAGATCTCTTACTTGGCGCCGGTCGTTCCTGGCCCCGACAGACCTGCGCCGTGGGGGCAGTGCAGCATGTCCACGAATCGGGCGGCGTTGGACATGGTCGACAAGCGGCTGTATCTATGATGCGGCTCCACCTCTTGGGGCTCTGGCTTTCGATCTTCAGCTCTCACGATCGGGTCACCCGTTGCTGCCCGCCTCGGAAGTCGAGGGCGGAGGCAAAGACGTGCGGGGCCGCATGGACAAGACGCCCGTCGGTTGGCATGCGAGCCTGACCGATCCTAAGACAGGTGGGAGATCACGGACCTCGAGCTTCCGACGAGCAATGCGCTAGCGCCGTTCAGCGAGTGCGCGGAGCATACCGAGAAGAGAGTTGGAACAGCATCCAGGGCTCGCTGCAGGAGCGCGACGTCTGCAAGACGTGCAGCCCGAATGAGAAGTCGCGCGCGACCAATGACACTTTCGGCCACGAGGTCTCTGACGAGCAGCGCTGGGACGCGGTGGATGTTCCTGGTGCTGCCTCGAAGTAGAGGGAAGCCCATCGTTGAAGGGGCGGTTTGCCATTGCCAAGCGGTGGTGGGCCCGCAGGTCAAAGTGCAGTTTGGCACTCGGATTCCGATGAGCTCGACCCGAAGCTGATTATGATCGGCGGGGGTGGCGGCAGACCAGTGCGGTCCCATTTGCCAGCAAAGGCGAGCGTCAGTTGTGGTCGCGTCTACCTCCTGCACCCGTCGACGGTTGGACAAGTGCTTCGGGTTATCGATCGACGATGATGTCGATCAGTGCGGTTTGGGCAACTATCCGCGCGCGGCGAGCAAACCAGTGTAACAGGACGAGCGAGGTGACAAATTCCGAGTCTTTTGTCGACGGCGACTTTGATAGTGTGGCTGTTTCAAACAAGCTGTGGTCTGATGGTCGACTCACAGGATACGAGCGAGACATGGAGATCAGAGTAGACGCGACGTGCTACGAGCGTGACTCAGGAGAGGTACATCCACACACCGCATCGACGGTGCAACGATTGCTTTCAACTGTTCAGGAGTTTCAAATGATTGCTTCCAGCCAGGGCATTCCACTCAGTGAAAAGTAACTTATTTAAAGGCCTATGAAGAGGGAACGTGGAGGGAGGGGTTTATGCAATATCGTTGATGATTCATGGGTGCGCACTGGTCCTGTTTTTCCTCCTCCTCCTTCTCCTCTATTCGTTTTCCTTATAAATAACTTCTCCCTGTCGTGGCAGGCGTTTCGCGTTGAAGCTGAAAAATTGGCAACAACTTCGCAGATGGAGGGCGGGTCGTCTTCAACATGTGGCTCTCGCCTTAGCGCCGCGCACAGTCATTATAGAAAATTGCAAGAGTTTGACGGATTGAAGGCGGGTCGTTTTCAAAATGTAGCTTTCGCTGTAACGCCGCGCGCATTTTTCTAATTTGCAAGAGACTCACGGATTGCAGGCGGGTGGTTGTCAAAATGTGGCCCTCACTTTAGCGCCGCGCATGTTCTCTTGTTTGGAATGTGCAAGGAGCTTCACGGATTGAGGGCGAGTGGTTTTCAAAATGTGGCTCTCGCGCGGCGCACATGGTTTTTTAATTGCAATAGCTTCACGGATTGAGGGCGGTTCGTTTTCAACATGTGTCAGGGAAGCGTAAGACTCGAGTAAGCTGGAGCTCGGGGTTGCCGAGTTGTTTTGACGAGCGCGTCCTGGATTTTGACGGTCCCGTTTTCGTGGGATGTCTGCAGCGGGAGCCCGCGTCAAATTGCAGATTGGGTCGCGTCATTATTATGATGGCCCTCGTCGGGCCAATCCGAGTCTCCTGTACCCGAGTCTCACGTCTCCCCGAATGTGGCTCTCGCCTTAGCGCCGCGCACATTTGTTTACAACATTGTCAAGAATTTCCCGGTTTCCCATCATCAGCGTACCACAAGCGGCGTTCTGGAAGGATTCAGGCTTATACGGGGGCAACCGTTATGCTGATTCTCTGTGTTGAAGTCCTAGGAATGGCGTTCTGGCACGATTCAGGATCGTCAAGACGGAACAGTCAGTTGATCCGTGGCGTTGGAATCCCGAGAATTATGTTTTGGCATGCTCTAGGATTTTCCAACGGGTGTCTTCCAACGAGGCAGTTCCATCAATGGAAATGAACCGTTGTATGGGGCCTATGACGAGGGAGCTTGGAGGGAGGGTTTACTCCAACATCGTTGGTGACTCTTGGATTTACACTGGTCCTCCTCCTCCTCCCTCCCTCGTCCTCCTCCTCCTCCTCCGCCTCCTCCTCATCCACCTCCACCTCATCCTCATCCTCATCCTTATCCTCCTCCTCCTCCTCCTCCTCCTGCTCCTCTCTCCTCCTCCTCCTCCTCCTCCTCCTCCTCCTCCTCCTCCACCTCCACCTCCTCCCCCCCCTCCTCCTCTCCTCCTCCTCCTCCTCCTCCTCCTCCTCCTCCTCCTCCTCCTCCTCCTCCTCCTCCTCCTCCCCCTTTCTCCAAGGACCGCCTAACCAGCGAGGGCCTCGTGAGGTTTTGGGAGCGGCACTGCCGCTGCTGCCCCCAGCGCTGCGGCAGGCGCCGCGGGGGTGTTGCGAGGGAAGAGGAGGGGCAGCAGGGGCCACTGCTTCCAAGTCGGACCTGAAGAAGTTGTGGAACGGGGTCCTCCCAGGGAGAACTGGGCAGAAACTCTCTGACGGGGACCGTCGGGGAACTAGCAGCAGTTGTCTGACCCTTGGTCCTTCTTCTCGCTCTCAGTTCCCAATCGTACTTTCACCCTCACGCCTTCCAAGATTCATTGGCTCTTGAAGACGCAACGACGTCCCCAGGAGGGTCCGTGCTGAGGTGTGGGATTCTCCGTTCAGGTAGGGCTGCTGGTCAACCTGGGCCTGTGGAGCGTTTGAGCGTTCGGGGAGCAGGATGAGCAGGAGGAGGTGACCTCCTTGAGGGTCGAGGGGCGAGTTGTTCGAGTTGTCCCCAACCTTGGGAAGGAATTCCCGTTTAGTACTCTAGCGGGGGTCTTTGGGGAGATACCTTTCTGCATCTGGCCTTGGCCAGCGGAGCGCCGGCGCGTCTTCGGCCGGTTTTGACGGCCCCAGGATGATCCAAGAGGGCAGAGAGTCGCCGAAAGATCGGTCCAAGACGCCCCAGATGGCCTCATGACGGCCCAGGATGCCCTGAAGACGCCCCAAGAGGCTTCCAAGAAGCCCCCCAAGGAAAGCCCCAAGAAGGCCCCATTCATTGTCCTGTGTGTTTTGAATGTTTTTGGGTTCCCCCTGTGTCGGCTTCCCAAGAGGCCCCGAAGGTCGCAAGACAGCCTCAAATGCCCCCAAGAGACCGTCCAGACGGCCCCAACGGCTCCCAAGACTGCCCCAAGATGATTCAAGATGCCCTCAAGACAGTCCAAGAAGGTCCCAGGAACGCCCCAACGAGGGCCCCAGAAGGGGGAGTGCGAACCGATATTTCGAGGGCTCCGTGCAAAAAAAAAACAGGAGACCCCAATTCCCCAAATAAGCCCCCAAGAGGCCCCAAGAAGCCCCAAGGATGCCCACAGGAAGCCCCAGGAGGCCCTCAACAGATCCCGCAGACTGCCCCAAAGGGCCCCAAGATGGCCCCGATACCGTCCAAAGACGGCCGCCTCGCGCTGTTCTGACATTACGTCGCAGGATGGCTTTCAGAATGCCCCCTATTTCAATCTCCTCCCCTCTCTGAAGGTCTCTTGGGGCATCGTGAACAAGTTTTCGGGACCTCTGCTGCCTTCTCCACGAGTCGCCAGAATAGGCCTGAGCGGCCCAATCCCAACCTCAAGCGGGAAACGGACAACGCGGGAATCTACACGACGCCCTGCTGCACCCCCCCGCCCCTCCTCTCGGACTGTCTCTTGGGGCCTCGGGACACAGTCTTCGGGACCACTTTCTCCCGTATCATTCCTTCCCGAACGCGCTGGGCGGCCCAGCTCCGCCCCAAGACAGCTCAAGAGGCCGCCTGAAGGCTTCGAGAGTCCTTCCCGAGGCCCCTCTACCCGCCCCGCAGCCACCCGAGGCACGATTTACACAGGAAAAGAAACGAGGATCGAGATTTATTGGCGTTTTCGCATTTTTGGGAGACTCATGGCCTCTGCTCCTCTCCGCGGCTGGATTTACTTTGAAATTCTGGCCAAAACGCACCCCGAGAGAGGTCCGAGAGGGTCGAATTTGCCAGGCGAAGGACGATGAGGAAGAGGAGGAGGAGAAGGAGGAGGAAGAGGAGGAGGAGGAGGAGGGAGGGGGTGGAGGAGCGGGAGGAGGAGGAGGAGGAGGAGGACGTCTCCTGCGGACTCCAGGAGTCTCCAGAGAGGTCATCGGAGTTCCCTTGAGAGATCTCCAGAGGTATTGCTTCTGAATGCCCGATGCGGGAGGGAGGCACCAGTGCGAGTAGAAAAAGCCGACTCGAACGAGCTGTCCCGACTGTGCTTCGAAGCGTACCCACAGCTGAAGTGCACAGAAAGAGGGGGCCCACTCTGCAGGCTCGGTTAACAGCACATTGTTGAGCTGGATGCCCGAAGGAGGAGGAGGAGGCGGAGGAGGAGGAGGAGGAGGAGGAGGAGGAGGGCCTGGAGGACCTTGAGGATGACCTGGAGGATGACCTGGAGGAGGACCTGGAGGAGGACCTGGAGGGGGAGCTGGAGAGGGAGCTGGAGAGGGACCTGGATGAGGACCTAGAGGAGGACCTGGAGGAGGACCGGGAGGAGACTTGGAGGAGGAGGAGGAGGAGGAGGAGGAGGAGGAGGAGGAGGAGGAGGAGGAGGAGGAGGAGGAGGAGCAGGAGCAGGAGCAGGAGCAGGAGCTGGAGCAGGAGGAAGAGGAGGAGGACGAGGACGAAGACGAGGACGAGGAGGAACAGGAGGAGCAGGAGGAGGAGCAGGAGGAGGAGCAGGAGGAGGAGGACGAAGGCAGCCCTCCCATGTGCTGGACCAGGCTCGTGAGGAGGCAAGCGCCGGCGCTCTGCTGCAACCGCTACCGGCGACGCTGGCAGGCCGGCGGGGAGCGGGGGCCTCCGAAGCCGGCGCGGCTGGCCCTGTCGGTGGAGGCCAGGCCTGGGAGCAAAACGTCGTAGTTGTCGTCGCTAGCTCGTTCAGCCTGGCTCATTTGACTCCCACTCCGTCCCTCCCTCCTGCTCCGCCATCCGCCCTCACTTGACTCACTTCGTCCCTTCCCTCCCTCCCTCTTCCGCTCTCTCCCTCCCTCGTCTCCCTCCGGCTTCCTCCTCCCTCCTCCTCGTCCTCCTCTTCCTCCTCCTCTTCCTACTCCTCTCCTCCTCCTCCTCCTCCTCCTCCTCCTCCTCCTCCTCCTCCTCCTCCTTCTCTTCCTCCAGGTCCTCCTCCTCTTCGCCCTCCTCCTCCAGCCGCCCCATCGTCGTCGTCGTCGTCGTCGTCGTCGTCGTCGTCGTCGTCGTCGTCGTCGTCGGCGTCGTCGTCGTCGTCGTCGTAGTCGTCGTAGTCGTAGTCGTAGTCGTCGCCGTCGAGGACGAGGACGAGGACGAGGGTCGAGAGCGACTCCGAGTAGATGGGGTCAGAGGATTGCGACGCATTGCCGATGCATTGGCGATGCGGCGCGATGTGGAGCCCGATCTTCTCTCTGCACCCCGACGTCGCCGACGCATCGCCGAGACGGGGCGTTTCTGGAAGTTTCTGGCCGATGCACGGTCGAGGTTTCCGGGTGTTTTGGGGGGCATGTTTTTGCTTCTTGGGGGCTTCTCGTCGCCACGGCTGGATCCGACCAGCCACATCTTGGGGAGCTGAGGTCCACACCCCCTAAAGGATGCATTGGCTTCGACACCCCCCGAGAGAGATTGTAGATACGACTACAGTCAGGAACGTTTGCTTAGCGTGTCGCGCCGCCAGCTTGCCCACCACCTTTGGGGCGACACGCCAGCCACTTCCCAAACCCCAAGCGTCAATATCCCGAGCTTCGCCCCGCCTCCCGCCCCACGGAGCGGAGCGACGGGCTATCCGCTCGCAAGCCATAGCGTGCCGTCGAGGCCGCCGCCGCCGCCGATCGATGGATAGTGAGACCGATCGACCGATGTCGATAGGTAGATACATAGTCGGATCGATTGTGGCACGGATGTCGAGACTGATTGATTGTGTGATTGATATATTGATAGGGTGGCCGATAATGAGATCAATCGTGAGATCGATAACCAGATTTTCATGGCGATGCTTCGAGGGTGTCCACTTCGTGTTCCGATGATGTCCACATGTTGTCCCGATGCTGTCCCGATGCTGTCCCGATGGTGTCATTTGTTTGTCTCCGCAGTGTCTTCATGTGCTCATCCCGATGGTGTTTCAGTGGTGTCCCGAGGGGCACCAATGGTGTCCCAACGGTCTCTCAATGGTCCTGTGGTTTCCCGCTGTTGTCTCGCTGGTGTCCAGGTGGTTGTCTGAGGGTTCTCAATGTCACCATCATCACCATCAGCATCACTACCATCACTACCATCACTACCATCACTACCATCATCATCATCATCATCATCATCATCATCATCATCATCATCATCATCGTCGTCATCATCATCATCATCATCATCATCATCATCATCATCATCATCATCATCATCATCATCATCATCATCATCATCATCATCATCATCATAATAAGCATCATCATCATCCGCATCATCATCCGCATCATCATCATCATCAGCATCATCATCACCACCATCATTATCATTATCATTATCACCATCATCATCATCATCATCATCATCAGCATCATCATCACGACCATCACCATCACCATCACCATCACCATCACCGTCACAATCCTCGTCATCTTCCTGGCATGGCAGATGCGGAACAGCAGTACCATCATCACCATCACCATCATCACAGCAGTCTGACTCAAGCACTCCGCAGGAGCTTTCGGCCGACTCCACCATTCGCGCCTTTTTGCCGATTGCCGTCATCGGCAGCATCACAATCACCAGCATCGACTGCATCGATACCATCACCAGCATCGACACCATCACCATCATCGCAGTTGTCGTCAGTTGCTCCCCCACGCACAACCTTCTTTCCACCCGAAGGGTGGTCGTATAGGTATGTTGTTCGTTTCCGAACGGGGGTTCGATTGGACAAAGTGGCGCAAGGCCGCCGCGGCTGGAAAGCAGCATAACCTACTTTCCTGGAGTGTTGTTTCGGCGAAGTTTTCCGCACTGATGTTGGTGTCGGGCCCTTGCGCCTCTCATGGTAGAATGCATCCGTACATCCATACACATGCATGTATGCATGCATACAGACATATTCCCCCCCTCCTGACGGAAGGGAGGGTGGAGAAGCGACGGAGGAGCATTGTGAGGAGGAGGAAGAGGAGGAGGTAGAGGACGAGGACGAGGAGGAGGAGGAGAAGGAGGACGAGGTGCAGCAGGAATGAGGAGGAGGAGGAGGACGACGATGACGAGGCGTAGGGGTATGAGTGTGAGGAAGAGAAGGAGGAGGAGGAGGAGGAGGAGGAGGAGGAGGAGGAGGAGGAGGAGGAGGAGAGAGGAGGAGGAGGAGGAGGAGGAGGAGGCCCCGTTTCTCCCTCGCTCGGCAGGTCAAGCACTCCGACGGCACGCAGCCGACGGCCGCGCGGGGTTGGCGGCCAAAGCTTGGTGCCCCATTGTGGGGGGGGTGCGACTTGCCTCTTGCCCCCCCATCCTGGGTGCACACCTCCTCCTCCTCCTCCTCCTCCTCCTCCTCCTCCTTCTCCTCCTCCTCCTCCTCCACCTCCTCCTCCTCCTCTGGCACTAGTAGCACTGTCAATGGGGGCTTTGAAGGTTGTCGCCTATCCTAAGCAAACGGGGCAGGTCGAGAAAAGAGGCGTAAATTAGGCGTTCCCGTCCCCCCCAGGAACACCAGCGTGGCTCATGACCGGTTCCCCCCAGTCGAGCACCCTCAACGCCTGGAGCTGAACGTCCTCCTACTCCTCCTGCTCCTCCTCCTCCTCCTCCTCCTCTTCCTCTTCCTTGCGGATACCTCACGCGCCACAGTAGGGGGGTCCAGCTCCAGGCCGCCCATGTGGGGCCGGAGCAGATGGGGTCGGAGGATCGCCCCGTTATTGCTGCATTGGAGATGCGGAGCACAATTTGTTCCGTCCCGACGTCGCCGATGGATCGCCGATGCATCGGCGATGCGGTGAGATTATCGGGCCCCATTTGCAATGGCCCCATTTTAGCGGACAAAGACCGTTGTACCATGACCTTGTCCACCATCCGGGACGCTATCCCAGGGCGGCTGGACATGTTAAAAGTTATGCCACCACGATGGTACATCTGGGTAGAAGCTTCCCAGCCGCTCTAGGGCAGGTGTTCCCGATGGCGGAACAGTTTATGTTGTACCGCTGTTCGTCCGCTAGCAGTTTGGGCGGGCTACATACGTGCACTCCTCCGCTCGAAGACCTCGCGGGCCAGGAGAGGGGGGTCCAGCGGCGACACAAGAGGCCCGCGTGCACCTCCGACAGTTCATGTTCATGTCTTTGTCGTTTCTGCAGTGCCGAGGGTCTTTGTGCTCCATCGTCGATCGATCCATCTGCCTATCGCTGTTTCTCCGGTCCTCTTATGGATCGAGGGGATCTGCGCTCCTGCACTTGGGGGGGCCTCCACGGAGGCCGCTGGTGCCCACGGCTGGGCGCGGCTCGAAGGACCGCAGGAGGGGCCCACGGGGCCAGGCAGGACCGCAGGAGGGGCCCGGGGATCGACGCCGAGCGCACGGCTTTGGGGCGAGGCCCTCTGGTCGGAGGCCCGGAGGTTCAAGCCGACACCGACATCGGCGGCGTGCCTCCGCCGAGGGAAGAGGACCCCCCTTTTCTCGGTGATGGTGGCAGTCCTCGGGCTGCCCAGGTGGCCGCAAGAGGACCACCAGCACCAACATCCGGGATCATGCTCCCCTGGTGGAGGCCCCCCCCCCGTGTTGGTCTCGGTGCTCACCTCCAGGCCTCCCACGTGGGGCCACCCGCTGGGGCGCGAAATTACAGGGCCGCTTCGCGCCCCCGCGGCCTGGGCCGGCCCGCGGGCCGCGCCCGCCTCCAGGGTGGCGTTGGCCCCCGTGGGGGGGGGCCGCAGTGCCTCGGGCCCCTCCGCGGTGCCTCTCCTCGGGGCGCTCTTCGCACGCCCGGGCGCGGCCGGGGTCAGAACGCGGCTGCTCTCCCCGTCCAGGGCTCCCTGTGGCAGGGCTTCGGTCGCACTCGGCGCCCGTGTTTCAGTCGTGGCGGTGCCGTTGTCTCTCCCCGAGGCGGGCTCGAGGCGTCTCGAGGTGGGCGTGAGGCCTCGCCAGCGCGCGAGAGCACGTGCAGCTCCGGGCGCTTGCCGCGGTGCATCCTGCGGCTGTCTTCGCCGCTCCCGCAGCCCGACGGCACAGGGCCCCGTCTTCCCCGCCCGGGGGCTCCACAGAGGCTGTTGGGGACAGGCCTCTGTAGCCTCGGACATGGCATCTCTGTGCATGCGTGTGTTTTTTTTAGGGGGGGGCGCCTCCGAGAGGTGACGAATGCGCTGGAAGCGCTGACGGGAGCCAGCTCGGCACACGGGGCCAACGCCGTCCGTCTGCTTTGACGTACAGCTCCGCCGGCGGAAGTTCGACGGAACGCGGCGGAAGCAGAAGATGCGCCATTCGCTCGGATTGAGAGCTTCTGGAGTCGACCATGCGGGCCCCTCCGGCATTGGCCTGCGCGCTCGGATTAGACCCCTCCGTCGGAGCCGCGCGCCGAAGGTCACTCTGGCCCAGGGCCATCTCTGCGTGTGGCTGGAGGGGGAGGAAGGGGGGGCTCAGGGAGGGTGGAGCAGAGGAGATGAAGGGGGTGGTCAGGGCAGGGGGGGAGATGGGGCTCAAGGGGGAGGAGAGAGGAGCAGATGTGAGTCAAGGAAGGGTGGAGAACTTTGGAGAGGGGGGAGGAGGGGGAGGAGAGAGGAGGGGAACGAGGCAGGTGCGCTCGCGCCATATCTGGCGTCCTACCCCTTCCACCCCTCTCCTCCCATTGCGCTGATGTTCTCCATCCGCGGACGCGCGTCATAGCGGGCCTGGAACTCCCAAAACGACTTCATCGTGGCATGCACAATCGCAAAAAGGGGAGCTGCGTATAGAGGAGGAGGATGAGGAGAAGGAGGAGGAGCTGGCTGATGAGCAGGAGGATGAGCAGGAGTAGTAGTAGTAGTAGTAGTAGTAGTAGTAGTAGTAGTAGTAGTAGTAGTAGTAGTAGTAGTAGTAGTAGTAGTAGTAGTAGTAGTCGTAGTCGTAGTCGTAGTCGTAGTCGTAGTCGTAGTCGTAGTCGTAGTCGTAGTCGTAGTCGTAGTCGTAGTCGTAGTCGTAGTCGTAGTCGTAGTCGTAGTCGTAGTCGTAGTCGTAGTCCGTAAGTCGTAGTAGTCGTAGTCGTAGTCGTGTCGTAGTCCTAGTAGTAGAGTAGTAGTAGTAGTAGTAGTAGTAGTAGTAGTAGTAGTAGTAGTAGTAGTAGTAGTAGTAGTAGTAGTAGTAGTAGTAGTAGTAGTAGTCGTAGTCGTAGTCGTAGTCGGTAGTCGTAGTCGTAGTCGTCGTAGTAGTAGTAGTAGTAGTAGTAGTAGTAGTAGTAGTAGTAGTAGTAGTAGTAGTAGTAGTCGTAGTCGTAGTCGTAGTCGTAGTCGTAGTCGTAGTCGTAGTCGTAGTCGTAGTCGTAGTCGTAGTCGTAGTCGTAGTCGTAGTCGTAGTCGTAGTCGTAGTCGTAGTCGTAGTCGAGTCGTAGTAGTAGTAGTAGTAGCCGTAGTAGTAGTAGTAGTAGTAGTAGTAGTAGTAGTAGTAGTAGTAGTAGTAGTAGTAGTAGTAGTAGTAGTAGTCGTAGTAGTCGTAGTCGTAGTCGTAGTCCTAGTCGTAGTCGTAGTAGTCGTAGTCGTAGTCGTAGTCGTAGTAGTAGTAGTAGTAGTAGTAGTAGTAGTAGTAGTAGTAGTAGTAGTAGTAGTAGTTAAAGTAGTAGTAGTAGTAGTAGTAGAGGTAGTAGTCGTAGTGGTAGTAGTAGTAGTAGTAGTAGTAGTAGTAGTAGTAGTAGTAGTAGTAGTAGTAGTCGTAGTAGTAGTAGTAGTAGTAGTCGTAGTCGTAGTCGTAGTCGTAGTCGTAGTCGTAGTCGGAGTAGTCGTAGTAGTCGTAGTAGTCCGTAGTCGTAGTCGTAGTCGTAGTCGTAGTAGTCGTAGTCGTAGTAGTAGTAGTAGTTAGTTAGTAGTTAGTAGTAGTAGTAGGTAGTAGTAGTAGTAGGAAGTGAGGAGTAAAGTAGCAGTAGTAGTAGTAGTAGTAGTAGTAGTAGTAGTAGTAGTAGTCGTAGTAGTAGTAGTAGTAGTAGTAGTAGTAGTAGTAGTAGTAGTAGTAGTAGTAGTAGTAGTAGTAGTAGTAGTAGTAGTAGTAGTAGTAGTAGTAGTAGTTGGAGGAGGAGGAGAATGAGGAAGGAGGAGGACGAGGACGAACAGCAGCAGCGGGAACTGGAGTGGAAGAAGCGGGAGGAGCAGGAAGACCAGGGGAAGGCGGATGAGGGGAAAGGAGGGGGGCGACAATCATGAGGAAGGACTCGGAGCCAGAAAACTGGCCCGCGCCGGGGTGCGAGCGCCATTCTGAACGACGGGGGCCAAGCGCCGATCCCAAAGGAGGCCAACGCTGGCCAACGCTGCAGCCGCATCACCGTTTTGAGACACCGAAAACGCTCCGATTGAAAAAAGCAACGGAGAAACTCAATAATGACAACCGGTGTAGAAAACGTGGAGCGTGGCGGGCCAGTCGCCAGCCATCTACAGGTGAGGAGGGGGAATCAGTGGAGGGGGAGGAGCAGGGAGGAGCTGGCAGAAGAGAGAGGGGGAGGGGAGGGGGAGGAGAGGTGGAGGGGGATGAGAGGAGGGGAGGGGAGGAAGGAAAAGCCGAAGGGGAGGAGGGGGGAAAGAGATGGCGAGCAGAGCCCGGGCGTCGCCCGCCCTCGGGCGGCGCTGGGCGGGGGACATCGCTGGCGCCTTCCCCCAAGAGGAGGAGTCCGAGCAGTTCCGCGAGCCAAAGGGCCGAATAACCTTTCAGGACGATCGCTGCTCGTGATCCACAGCTCGACGCCTCCGTCGTCGTCGTCGTCTTCGCGGTCGTCGTCGTCGTGGTCTCGCTGAGGGGATCAGCTAGTCGTCGCCCCCGTGGTCGTCGTCGTGGCCGCCGTCGCGGTCGCGTTGAGGGGGTCGGCTATTCGTCGCCCCCGTGGTCGTCGTCGTGGCCGCCATTGTCATGGTCGCGCTGAATGGGTCTGCTATTTGTCGCCGCCGCCGTCGTCGTGGTCGCCATCGTCGTGGTCGCCGTCGTCGTGGCTGCCTATCGCCGCCGCCGTCGCCGTCATCGTCGTCGTGGTCGCCGTTGAGAGGATCGCTGCTCGTCGCCGCCTCGTTGTCGCGGCCCCCCTGAGTAGGGATCGAGGTTCGAGGTTCTCCTTTTTTTGGCCTCCAGGAGGCTTCTCCGTCGCCGCTGCCAGATCCGCCTCGAGTTTGTGGCTTGAGCACACCCCAGAGGGTAAGATGGGGATGATCTTTCAGGGGCGGAGGGGAATGAGGAGGTGGAGGAGGACGAGGAGCCGAAAAAGTCTGATGCTACGAGAGAGACGCCCACATGGCCTGCCTGCGAGAAAGAGCGGGAGCAGCAGGCGTAGCGGCAGGGCAAGGCCTTGATGCCCACCAGAATTCTTGCATCACTCTCTCGCGTGATCTCCAGCCCCTGCAGCGTGCGTACGGCCCAGCTGAGGTATCGTTTCTATGTGCAGGCCCGTGTGCATGCATGCGTGGATCTGCTGTTTCCGACGTGTCCGAGGAGGAGGAGGAGGAGGAGGAGGAGGAGGAGGAGAGGAGGAGGAGGCCGCAGCTGCCTCGGCGCGGTCTTCCACCTCTTATGTACATATGGTGGTGTGCGTTGGCTCAATACACAGACTATGGGCAGTGGACCATCTGTCCCATAATGTTTGCTGCAGTTCGAGCCCTTTTGGGGCACGCTCGACCTGATGCTGCTGCTCCTTATCCTCCGCCTCCCTTTCCCCTTCCCCTCCCCATCCACCCATGCAACCCTGTAGTTACCTCATCCACCTCTCTGCCCTTCTGCTCCCTCCTCCTCTTCCTCCTCCTCCTCCTCCTCGTCCTCCTCCCTCTCCTCCCTCTCCTCCTCCTCCTCCACCTCCTCCACCTCGTCCTCATCATCGTCGTCATCATCATCACCATCATCACAACCATCGTCATCATCATCAGCATCATCATCATCACCATCATCACCGTCATCGTCATCGTCATCATCATCATCATCATCATCATCATCATCATCATCATCATCATCATCCTCATCCTCATCATCATCATCATCAGCATCATCATCATCATTATCATCATCATCATCATCTTCATCATCATCATCATCATCATCATCATCATCATCATCATCATCGTCGTCAGCATCATCAGCATCAGCATCATCATCACCATCATCATCATCGTCATCATCTTCATGATTATCATCCAGCTCCCCCTCCGCCTCACCCTCCTCCCGCTCCTCCTCCTCCTCCTGAAACTTGCCGCGCGCGGTTCCGGGCAGGCGATCCTGCACGGAAAAGCCAGCGCAAAACAGAGAGCAGCCGAAGGACTCGGGCGGAGCTGTCGCTCTCGGCGCACCGCGGGCGTCGCGCCCCGGGGTGCAGCCCACAGGGCGGCCATCGCTGACGACGGCGCGCAGGAGCGCCGACCTGGCGGACATCCGGCGCCGCCTGGGCCCCAGGCTCGGGCCACCGCGCGCAGCCATCGGCAGGTCGTGGACCCGCCGACCCTCGCGGCCACGGAGCGGCGGCCATCGGCGGGCTCCGCCCGGGAGCTCGTGGCGTGGCGTCGTGCGGCCGACCACGAGAGGAGAGAGCAGCGCGTTGCGCATCGCGGGGCGCGACGCACGAAGCTACATGACCTACACCATAAGACCATCAAGTCAGAGCGGATTCCAGATCAGAGTTTCTGATTTTTCTCGTGGCACAGGCAAGAAGATCTGTCTTCCAGGGTAGACTATGGAGGACGGCACCGACGAAAAGCTTGTTTTATGCTTCAAGTATGATGGCCAGCGGGGGCCCAAAGCAGTCACTCTTACAACATAAGACTGTGCAATGAATGTGGCGCAATCTAGGTGCTGCAATCCATGTGTTGACATTTATGCGGTGCAAAGCAATGCAATTGTATTACATTGCAATGCAGTGCAATGCAGTGCAATGCATTGCAACGCAATGCAATGCCATGCAATCCAATGCGAGCGGCGACAGCGGCGACGGGCGGCTGCGACGGGCGGCGACGGCGGCGGCGACGGGCGGCAACGATCCGGCCAGACCGGCACTGGGGCACAATTACCAGCGGCGACGGCGGCGGCGACGGGCGGCAACGAGATGGCCGGACCGTCACTGGAGCTCGAATACTTTAGAAAGGGATGAAGAACCCCGAAGTGCAAGCACTGTTCGGGAAATTGCCATACTTACATGTTTCTGTATTTCCAGACCTGGGCCACTGGTCAACAAAAACGAACTTGCAGAGTTTGTCTTCGTAGCCTGAATTTGTTGCTACTGATTTGTGGTGCAGGGCACGGAGGTTCGCGCCGCGTCGACGCGGCGGCGACTCGTGCGCGGGCGTTCAGGGTCGAGGGCCGGTGGTGGCCCAGGATCGGCGGGCAGCGCTATCACATCTAGCGGCGCGAAGTCGCCGCAGCGTCCTGGAGGTTCGCGGCGCGGCACCGGCACCGGCGACCCCGGCACCGGCGACGCGGCGGCGACCCCGGCACCGTCGGACCGACCCCGGCGCAAATTGGACGATGCCCGCAGATTTCGGGCCACCGTTTGCGTCGGTGGTGCAGAATCGGCGGGCATCGAGCGGTTTGCGCTGTCGGAAAGCCGCGATCGTTCCAGGTTGAACGGTCCAGGCGGTGTCAAAAACCAACGCCGACGTCGTTACGACACCGAAGTCGAGTGGCCCAGTCCGTTGCTTCGGCTCCTGCTCCTCCGCGCCCCGTTTCCTCCGAGGAGGCGATAAGCGACCCGTTCAGCACCTTCAAGCGGGTCATCGGCCCCAGGAAC